AAAAAAAAAAAAAAATATATATATATATATATATATATATATATATATAAAGATACGTTGAAGCCTAAACAAACTTCTAAATTCTAAAATTATAATAACGGAGATAAAATATATACGTATTTATTAACATTACCAAATAAATCTGCTTAAGTAGTGTTATGTACCATTGGCAAATTGCAAGCTACAGCAATTCGACAGACATGATGATACACATTTCAGTTGGCAGTCAGGACTCAAACCTTTTTTCCAGTTGCGCACTGCATTGTTCAGTAATGATGGGGGATGGGGCTGGTATGCAGGAGGAACTTCGTGGCTGCCATCTGTGAAAGCCTTACCGTTTAGTCAAACTCGCTTGTACTATCGATTTGATATTACGAGATATTATTAGGGAGTCATCGTGTGAAACAATCGCGCGAAACAAGAGTGAAATTAAAAACGGGGAACCAAAAAGAAAAATCGATCGTTAATGCCTGTAACATGAAACACAAAAGAACGCCCGACTGTCAAACTTAAACGTTCTCAACGAATTACTGGTCAAAAAATATAAAGATAGATAAGGGGGGGAGGGAGGGGGGAGGTGTTAATTCAGAACTGCGAGGATCGTTGTAAATCACGTAGGACTAAACCGGGTCGGTCTATCGTACAACGTCGAACTTACAGAGGATACCGTTGTTCTTTGCATTCTCTTCCCTGGCGGGCTGGGCTTTAGGAATCTGCACCAGATGTCCGGACTGAACGATCACGTGCTGGAAGACGCTGGTAGGAGTAGACGGATCGGACGCTTCCGTGGTGGTTGCCATCACAGCGCTCGTAGGCGGCGGCTGATTTCTCTGCATGTCCATGTGCACGGTGGCGGCGTGCGTGCCCACTTTATTCACCTAACGAAAACAAAATTTGCGGGATGTGACCAACCGATTCTACCGAGGCCTTAAGGCTCCTGGTGTCCCTCACCGCGGAATTCTCGCTCTGATGACGTCAGAAGCGAGAAAACGCACGCCCGAGGATCCTTGCTGGGTATACGTTCAAATAAAAAGATACACCCACGAACGTGACATTTGTGATCGACTCACGGCAACACTTGTAAAATATTACAATACAGGAATTTCCTTTTTGCTCTCAACAATCAATAGATAGATAGATAACCGTACAATTTAACACGACATGCAACCCTTCTTTTTTAATTTATCTTTTCTCACGATTTTGTAAATTTTATAAATTGGTAATTAATTAATTTTATGATTAATTTTACGGCTTCGAACGGTTATCACGCTACACCGTGTTCGCGCGATCAACTCACAGGCTGCAGAACGGACAGTTTGTCGATGTGGACGGATGAGACGGCGGGTGACTGAGGCGGCTGGCACGGCACCTGGTTAAACGTGGACGTCGGCAGCTGGCCAAGGTGATTGATCAGGCTCTGCCGGTATTTGTCGTCCTGATTGCCGATGTGCGCGCCCGTCGGCCCGTCCATGCTGTTCTTGATCACGACGTACTGATGCTTCTTTTCGTGCTGGTGCATCACGTAGATCGGCTGGCTCTGCGGCGGCGGCTGCGCGTAGTCGACCGGTTGTTGCTCCATCGGCTTGTGTATGAGCGCCAGGTTCTGCGGCGCCGGTGCCGGCAGCGGTATGTGCGGCGAGTGCGACGGCTTGATCAGCTGCGTACTCTGCTCGGCCATCTCGACGTGGTGATTGGAGAAGTCGTTGCCCGAGGCCTGCAGCGCGTGCTGCAGGATTATGCCCTGCTGTTGCTGGGCGATCGACGTTACCACCGAGGGATGCCTCGTAGGTGGCGGGCTCTGCTCCGACCATGGCAGGGTAAGGTTCTGTCCGGGTATGGCGCGGGTCACCGGGGAGATTCTTATCACACTGGTCCCCATACTGGCGGGGACAGGCGCCGTCGGAGCCGGCCTGTTCGATCGGACCACCCGATTCGGCTCCGGCTTGATCACCTGCTGCGGATACTGCACCAAGAAGTTGGACTGCGTGGGCGAGTGCTTCCATTTCGCACCGGGCGAGATCAGGGGAGTCGCGTGATGGGCCGGACTCGAGATGGGCATGAACACGTTGTTCTGGTTGAGGCCCAACGGCGGCACCGGCGATTGGTTTATGCACGGCGATATGGAGGACTGGCCGGTTGGCGACGAGAAGGCCGGCGTGGCCGATCTCGAACTCCCCAGAGACACTGCAATGTTGCGGAATTGTGTTATGTTTTCTCTTCTATCCCGAAAACACGCATCGTCACGCGAAGTGCTTCAATTTAAGGCAGTTGTAGTATAAAATGGGTTGCTTTTAAGGAGTCACTGAAACCTGCGCTATGTATAGATTTAAGTACGCAATTGGAAAACGATTGAGACCGGATTCGGGAGCTGAGATATTCGCGACTAGAGATGATACTTTTTACACGTGTTCCTTGAAAGATTCTGTTTTTAACTTTTATTTTTTACCTTATCTAAATCGTATTTAGGATTTGAAATGTAAAGCTACTGTAATATTAAGGAGTAATGTGGAGACATTACGCACAAATTTCAGAATTATTCATCACTTTGTTTTGAAAATGCAGGAAATTTACAATTTACAGCAGTACCAGTAATATATGTACATATATATATATGTTTGAATATTTATATATCACTTTCTATCGTGTGTGCATTCCTATTAGCTCAACTGACGTATAAATAAAGCATGAGAAAGATAAAAAAAAAATAAATAAACAATATCTCCGTATTTGTAATATTGTGTACACGTGATCTTTTAATTTCGCTTAATATTAACATTTATTATTTAAATAATTAAATAAAGTTACAGTATGTGGGAATATCCCTAATATCATCACTAAAAATCCGGGTACTCTACAACTACCTTAATCCTTCAGTAGTAACTGCGATGATCGCTAAATCGATCATTGTGCCGCAAAAGACAAAATTTACCCAATTGTCAAAAATTGTCATTGCGATAAAAAGAAGTCATTCTCATTATTGAATATATCGATTGAATAATATATGGGAGATTACCGAGCATGTTAGCAGCTTCAGTTTCGTCTTGATCGAACCTACCCGCTATTCTTCGGTCACCGTAATTCGGCGAGGTGTCGGAGTCTCTCGATGTTTCTTCGCCGTCCATCTTGCCACTGTAAGCGATACAAATCGCATATGACATCGCGAATTCGCGGAGAGAAATGCAATTCAACTGACGCATCGCGGAGCGCGAGCGCTCGACGCGATCCGTCAAATGAAGTTTCTTTAACGTGCGGGAAATTCGTACCCGGGAACCGTGTTCGTCGGGCCCCTAAGACCGGATCCTTTCAAATTAAGATGACGGGAACAGTAGCCTCTTCGTTGGCTCTCTTTGCGACATCCGTCCGAGGAGCTACAAAGCCTGCGCCACTGCTTCCCGTTGAATTTCTTTCTAATTCCGCTCGGTGTAACCACTATGTCACCCTTTTTATACCTATGTGGCGTTGCCGCCTGAGATCTGTTCGCGAGAGGAGGCAAAAAAAAAGAAGCAGGCTTGACTAAATTAATTACATTTTAATCTGCACTATCCGCACGCGCAAGAGAAACTTTTATTTGAGGATCACAGCGCTGCCGTCCGGTCAGCGGAAAAAAAAAAAAAAAAAAAAAAAAAGAAAAAAAGGAAAAAAAACTTGTGAGATAGTGACTGATTCTTGGCAAAAAAGGTGACGTCCCAGGCATCGTAATAGCGACCAAAGGTGACTTTTCTTCTCTGACGATAAATTTCAAATTCTGAGAACGACTAAGGCTATTTAAACAAAAAAAGGTAACGCTTATTCTGATATTCTCTGGTTTATCTTTGGATAACTTAAGATATATATATATATATATATATATATATATATATATATA